AAGAAGGGCTGGCAAAGAGCTTAGTTGATGTGCCTGTCACAAAGACTAGTGCCCTGAGTTTCTTAGGACTCAGATGGAGAGAACCAACTCCCACAAGTCGTCCTCTGACCTCCATGCTTTCACTGTGGTACACACACACACACACACACACACACACACACACACACACACACACGTATGCTCATGAGGACACATGCTCATACACACACACAAATAAATGCAATGCAAATCTTTGAAGATACATCAAGGTCAAGCTGGTTTCAATCCAGAGAAGCAACATTGGTTCATCACACAAAAGTTTAAAAAAAAATTTAAAAATTAGCACTGTATAAATACATTGAATGACAGAAGTTACATGAGTATTTTAATAGACACAGAGACGGCATTCGATAAAGTTCAACATGATAAAATTCTAAAGAAACAGACAGCCACAGCTACACAGAGAAACCATGTCTCAAAGAAAGAGGGGAAGAGAAACTAAACAGAAGGAGAAAAAAGGAGAGAAAGAAAGAGGGACAGAGGGAAGCAGCGAGGGAAGGAGGGAAAGAGGAAAAAAGAGAGGGAGGAAGGAAGGGGATGGAGGGACGGAGGGAAAGAGAAAGGAAGGAAGGGAGGGAGGGGCAGGGAGGGACAGAGGAACAGAGGGAAAAGAAAGTAAAATTAAAAAAGAAAACAAACTTGCAAAACTTGAAGAAAATGATAAAAATCATAATAAAAATAAACTTTCCTTCCATTGTTTCAAATATGTCCCTGGGGCTAGACTCCTCAAAGCAGGGATACTTGCTCATTTCTGTGTCCTCAGCACCTAGCCATGATTCGAAGGGCCTCAGAAATTGTGAGTAAATAATAATAGTAAATCCATTTCATTTGTACAGTGCTTCAAAATTTGCAAAATTCCCCAAGACTTCATGCCTTCCCCTAACAATGGGACCCAGGGCACAGACCCATACAGGCCCTTGGAGCACATGGGCAAGTGGGCACTGAAAGGCCCCAGGGACAGCTTCACTGCCTCTGTTGATAGCGGGCAGGATGGGTATCTTTCCACCAAATGGTGCTGTTCGGGATGCCACACCTCACCTTAGCTATCACTAGGCCCATTCCTGCTCAGAGCAGGGGTGTAGTCAACAGCCTGAGAGGAAATGTGATGGAAAGACAATGAGGGACATAAATATTCCTCCAAAACATTAATATTCTCTCTCTCTCTCTCTCTCTCTCTCTCTCTCTCTCTCTCTCTCTCTCTCATTATGTAGACCAGGCTGGCCTCACACATCATGCTTCAGCTTTCCTCCAGGGTTTCCCCTGAAGTCTGCTGGTGCCTACTGTTATACAAGGTGAGAAACACAGTGATTTTGTATTCTCCCAAGAAATTCACCCTAGAGAAGAGCAGTCTATGTGGGAAGGACTAAGACTGAAAGCAGGTCTGGAAAGGACTATCTCCCAACCTCCTGAGGTTCCAACAATGAGAAGAGGGGAAAGGGGACAGTGGGGACAGGTGCGTATGGCTGAGGGACAGAAAGGCATTCAGCTTCATGTGCTGAGTGGCAGAAAGCAAATTCATGTGTTAATAATCTTATTTGTTCGTGATAAAAACTTTATATCTTAACCAAGTTCTTAAAAGACCATAGATGAATAGTCTCAAAATTGGAGCTGTAAACTCTCTGCATGTGTAGGACAGAGGCCAGGCCGGTCTGGAAGTCTTTTGTCTGCCTGACGTCTACGCTCTTCCTGGCGGGTGTGGCTGTGTGGAACAGCCATCCACTCTTGGGAAAGTAGTGTTTCCAAGGCTGGGCGTTTACACTCGGGCTCAGCTGCTTGTGGATTTGCAGTCTGGTGGACCATGCAGATCCCTCTGAAGTAGGAAAAGTGCAGTGTGTGTAATACAGTTTTAAAAAGTGCATAGGGTCATAATGAGTACAATCCATTTTTCAAAATATTAAACCAAGCATTTATGTGAACATGATGTAGTGGCAGGTTTAACCTCTGCCATGGTTTTTAGAGGAAGAAAAAAAGAGAAGAGTTGGTTCTAGCAACATCGGTCATAACCTGGGTGACAGTGTAAGTCAAGAAAACCTGTGAGCACCGTTAGTGAAAAGGCCCAGTACCGCCACTACTGTAGTCTCTATATAGCCTTTGTTCCTGTCTGAAGAAAAGCAAGCTCCACTTAGAGACTAGTGGAATGGCTACAGTTTCATTTCTCAGACCTCTCCTCTGATGTACAAAGAATTCAGGCTAAGAAGCCTGACTTAGGGGCATCCTTTCCCTGGTCCTGCCTTATAGCTCTGATGAGGTACGGTGGCTGCGGAGGGAAAGTGGATAGTTAGTATCGGCTGAACACTCCACGTATACTCACATGTACGCCTTGTAGTTGTTGCCAATCTTCTGAACCCGGATGTCATACTTGGCGTCAATGAAGGGTTCAGCTGTGGCATAGGTTTGGGTGAGGGCCACCACGCTAGCAATGTCCTGGAAGTCGTAGTGATTTTCCACTTTGACCTAATGTTGATGTGAGACAGACAGGAAGGCAGACACGTGGATACGCACACTGAGATGCCACAAGGGCTTACTCCAAGCCAATCACGCAGTTTCTGACACTGGTAAACATGAACATCCCATCTCTCTAGCAGCTCCTCTGTCTCTAGTCCCTTCCAGGAGCCAGGGTCACACTTGTGGCAAAAGATCTAAGGAGCCAGCTGGGTTGGTTGTATTCTTCACTGTATGACTGGGCAAAACCCATGGCTTCCAAGGGACCTTGTGGTCCTATGGAGAAAGCCATTGACGCAGGAAGAATAGTCTACTAATGGGCTTGCTGAATAAAAGCCCCCTTGGGCACAACCCAGACTGCCACCAGGCAGCGTGCCTTACCTTGCCCATGCCTGAGTGAGCATGGCCAATCTTCACCACCACAGGAAATGTAGGCAGTGTAAGCTGCGAGAAGAAAAGGAAGAAATGGACTGGTCAGTAGGTCTTTTCTCTTTGACATCCTAAAATATTTTTCTTGGGATGACCCTTGGGAACATCCTTTAAAGAATCAGTGTAGGGGCTGGAGAGAGCTCAGCAGTTAAGATGGTTTGCTGCTTTTGCAGAGGACCTGGATTTAGTTCTCAGCAGCCACACCAGATGTCTCAGAACCTTCTGTAATTCCAGCGCCAGGGCTTCTGACCCCTGTTGTTCTCTGCAGACTCCTGCATGCACATGGCGCACATAAACTCATGCAGGCACACGGATATCCACGTAAACAAATAATAAAAAAAACTTCAGTGAATAGTGTCAAAATACATTGCATGAACTTCTTGGATAACATTAATAAAATATTAAAATAAAATAAGAAATAGTGTACACTACGTGCTTTATACATGAGACCCATAGAATGACATCAACATTCCCAAGGTCACACAGTGGGCTATGTGTGCCCTGTTCTCCTATCTGATTCCTTCTGCATCTCACTGCTTCAGTTTCCCCTGCCTTAGACAACCATGGCAGGACCTCCTCTCAGCTAAGGAGAATTTTTCTTTAATTCACGAAAGAGCGCATTTTGCTGGCTGCAGATTTCACTGTAAGAAACCAAAAACATTTGGAATGCATTTTGAGCATCTTAACGCCAACTGAAACATGCACCTCTGACCACCTCTCCCCGTCATGTGCCTGCCATCTTTCCCGTGCTGGTCCTAACTGTCCTCTTCCTCTGTCACACTCTTTCTTCCCCGCTTACCAACACCACAGACTCAGTACCAAACACAAACTTGGTATCCTAAGGCCTATGTCTGTCTAGCTCAGGATTCGGAAGAGAGAAGACATAAGAATTCGGTATGTTTGTCCTTGGAAGTCATCCTCAGCAAGATAAACTCTCCCTCAAAGTAGCCTTGTTTAAACAGAGGAGGAATAGTTAAGACTTAAAGGAGGAAGGACCCTCTGAAGGTAGGGTTTTGAGCTGCAGCAAAATGAAGGCAGAAGCAGTAACACGGTGGAGCAGGGGAGCAGCAGCCAGGGCACTGGCAGCTAGAGAGGGGGAGCAGCAGACAGCACACTGGCAGGTGAAGATTCTAGTTCTCTCCACCACTCACCTGTCAGCAACCTCATAGCACTGATCCTCTGTCAAGTGACAGGATTGGGATGATGCTTTTAAGACCCCTCCAAGTGACAACTCTGTCTTGGTCTGAGCATTGTGTGAAGAACCACGCTAGACACCAGTCTGGTCCTACCACCTGCATCTATCTGACTTGTTCTCTCCCAATTCCCCTTTTCAAACATCACCACTGCCATCTAACTGGACTCTTCTAAAGGAGACAGCTATCGGTAGCAGGGAAAAGTCAAGTCTATAATGAAAACTCGAGTCTCATGGAGTGGAGCGTGATCATGAATGTGAGTTTGGTGCTGTGGACTGCAAAACAAGGAGAGGGAGGAATCGTGTAGTCCAGTCCTGTTTCGTGGAGAAAACAGTTGGGGCCCAGAGAGGCAAAGATCACAAAACGATCCAGTGGCAGTCGGAATCAGGACTTGGCCCCCAGCTCCCGCTGAGGCAGTCATTCCACGAGTTTCTTTTCATTCAGATTCTTGGAGCACTTTGCTGACAAACAGTGGACAAGGCTTGGGTCACAATGACCGGAGTGCCTGTCTTGTTTGCTAAGCGGCTCCGCCTTCTGCAACATGGCGGTCTCTAGGGGACAATGATGTGCAGTAGGGGCTTTGAGGTCCAGAGTTTGCCCTGACCTGCTGGGCAGGACACCCTGCGTTTTAAGCTCCATGGAAAGAACTGCACTCAACTCTGAACTCTGCAGTCTAAGACTCTGATGTGAAAAGAGTTTTAAAGCACTGGCTACTTTCTCTGACACCCTTCCCCACCCCCCAGCTGACAGCGCCAAGACACACACACACACCCCAACTTTCTCTGTCCTGTTCCCTGACTGTTTGCTGTTGCTTTGGAGCCTCATAAATAGGGCATTGAAAACACTTCCTGCAGCTGAAAGAAGCCCTGAGTAGCTTGTCTCATTCCCAGTATGCCGCTCAGCAAGGGGTCCGTCCTCCTCTGTCACTGTCTCTTTTGCCTGTTGTAATTCTGTCTGCCTCTGACTTGGCCTGTGTCTCTGTGTCTCTGCCTCCCCTCACTTGCTCCTATTGCCGGAGCCTCTGTCCCTCATCTTTCCACCTTCCTGTCTCTGCGCTAGTCTTTGCTTTTCTTGCTTTGCCCCCAACGCCCTGTCTTCCCTCTACATCCAGGTTGCTGCCTCTTTTGGAATCTGCGGGCTTTCCTCTGCATTACTGGGTCTGTTGGTCTAGTCAGGAGGGCTTTGGGTCCGGTGGCTGTGGGTGGCCTGCTGCCAAAGGAGGGAGGAGCCCATGGGGGGCGGGATTGGCCCTAAAGCCACCTCATAAAGACTGGGACTGCAAGAGGCTTTCTGGAGGAGTCCTGGAGGGGCTGTTTGTTGCGGCAGGCAGACCCCAGGAGCTCAGCTGGGGCTCTACAGTGTCATGCCCTGGAGCCCCCTGGCTGCGCTGAGCTGGGCGCTGGTGCTGCGGCTGCTGGCATTGCTGTGGCCCCCGGGGCTGGGTGAGGCGTGCAGCTGCGCGCCTGCGCACCCCCAGCAGCACGTCTGCCACTCGGCTCTAGGTGAGTCCATGGCCTTTGAGGACCATACCAGGGGATGCCTGTGGGAAAACTGATGTTGGGCAGAGCTGTAGACTTGGAATCTGAAGGAAGGGGTGGAGCTAAGATCCTGTATGGGTGCCTCCTGCTGCAGCTGATAAATCAGAAATGGCTGTTGCTTTATAGACCTTGGAAGTACAAAGCCTGATTTGTAGGGGAATAAATAAATATTCGATCACAGGTCTCCAGAGAAGTTCCCATCAGCTCAGCTTGATGGGACCCAGCTGTCACTGGAGCTATCCCGTAATTTTCAGAACTCCTGAGGGGAGGGGCGTTTGCAATGGAACACCTGCCTTCTTGCCTGCAGCTGAAGTTGCCACAGTGCCACTACAGGACATCCACATGCCTTTTGTCCTTTCTCTCCCACTACCTGGATACCCTACTTCCACACCTTTAACTACTGGCAAACTACTATTCACCCTTTGTTTTCTGAAGGCTTTTTGATTCCTTGCTGCGCACTTTGTGGTGGGTGCTGCTGTTTTGTCTAAGGTGTTCTCCGCTAGATCTAGACTTCTGCAGGATGAGAACTCTGTCGATGAGCCTTGTGCCTAGTGCAAAGTCAGGCAGAGAGGAAGGATTCTTTTAAATAAATTTTCTAGGACTGGGGCTGTAGTTCAGTGACAAAGAATTTTGTCTCTCACACGTGAGGCTTATAGGGTCAGTCTTCAATACCGGAAAAAACAAAAACAAAAACAAACAAACACCCAAAATCAAAAAGCAAACCAGGTTTTGATTAGATAGTAAGAAATGAGCTACTTCAATGGAGAATGGGTACATTTACAAATCTGATAAACATTTTTACTCTCACTTGAAGGTGAGTTAAGAATGTATCAATAGATGAGCCCCATTCCAATTGCCTTGAAGGGGTTCCTACCCCCCACTCACCATCCCCAGGGCTATGGAGAATTCAAGCTCTAGACACCAACAGGTTAAAGGCAGAAAAAACACAGTTGAAGGACCTAACAGCCCTGAAGGATTTGAAGCTGGCAACCACTACAGAGTAAACTCCAAGTTCCTTCTCTCCTATGTAGTGTACTGCTGAGATCCCAAAAACACTTGAACCAATTGCTGGATACTCAGAGGACCCCAGGCCATCCCGATCTCATACTGCATACTCCCACAGTGCTGAAGTTTCCCTTTCTTTCTGTGCAGTAATCCGGGCAAAAATCTCTAGTGAGAAGGTAGTACCTGCCAGTGAAGACCCTGCCGACACTCAAAAAATGATCCGGTATGAAATCAAACAGATAAAGGTACATGGAGCAGGACAAGGGCTGAGCCATAATGGGCTGATGGAGGGATGGGGTTTTGTGCTATGGAGGATGAACCTAGTGGACTCAGGCAGAGGACTCAGGACTCCTTAGGCCCATGCTGAAGTGGAACCATATGAGCTGGTACGGGCAAGACCCATGGGAACCGTGACTTTCAGGGTGGGGACTCGCTGTCTATCCTGTCCTACAACTCTTTGTCTGTGGGACCTACCTCCCCATCTCCCTGGAAGAAGTCAAGGTTTAGATTTATTTAAAAATAAACAAATAAAAACCAGCAAAGTTCTCTGTGCACCAAACCTGAATTAGACTTTGGCTTGACGTTTGAAAAGAGATGAGCATCTTTTAGCCTGTGGCCCTGTCCTGACGCAGTTCTGCTCTTCTGTAACTGCCTTCCAGATGTTTAAAGGGTTCGAAAAGGCCAAGGACGTTCAGTATGTCTACACACCATTTGACTCCTCTCTCTGTGGCGTGAAACTAGAAACCAACAGCCAGAAGCAGTATCTTCTGACTGGTAAGTTAAGGGGCTAAACAGAGGTGTGATAGTGGCCACAGCCACTTAGCTGGGGAGAGCAATGAGACTCCCTTTCAATGCAGGAGTCCCTGCTATAGTGATCTTTTCAGGAGAGTCTGCTCTACCAATCTAGGTAGCTAGTTCCATTTTGAAACTTTTCATTGGTACAAGGCTTTTGGCATCTTGAGCCCAAATACGTCTCCTGAAGGTGTTTCCCTTGTGTTTATCACCTCCCTGTGCACAAGCTCAACTCTATGGTTCATCTCCATGAACCCCAGGCGGGGCCAGCCTCCATACCAAACTGGTTGGGACAGAACAGTAAATGAGCCATCTATCCAATACACCCAAGAATATTTTGGGGGAATAAATAAATACGGTACTAAAGAATTCTGGAATTTTGGAAACGAGGTGTTGGTCTGGTTGTGGACAAGGGAGGGGGGAGACCCATCACTTTTTGGTGGCTCTAGGTTGGCCTATAAGATGGAAAATATCTATAAGGAAATCAAGGGAAACAAAACCACCAGCCCACAGGGAGAACAGGGAGGAGCTCCACTCTACCCGTGGAGCCCACAGACAATCATCTACTCCCTACTGCCAGGCCTGGGCAGGAAAGTGGGGATTCATAGTCCTCAAAGACTTCCTAGTCCAGACACGGCTCCTGAAGAGGACACAATGAAAAGGGCTTCTCAGCTCTGAGGATGCAGGATTGTGCTGCCCTGGGCAGCCTCTGTAGAGACGGGACATGCCACTGTACCTTCCAGGTCCCTCATAAGCCGACCGGTCTCTTCACATCTCTTGATACCCCTCCCCTTTCTCGAGCACCCACTTTGTGGGTCTCACCCTCACTGAGGCACTGATGTGTATCTGGGAAAAGGAAACATGGGGGCTTTTTCCTTGAGGAGGTCAAGAGTAACCGAGGCTGGAGAAAACATAACTCTACAAAAAGGTGTCAGTGGTGCCACGCCTTCAGGAGAAGCCAATGGTCCTTTCATTGATAGGGAAAAGTCTTTTGTGACTAGAACACTGTGACCATTGTAGCTCTTTCTGTGTCACTTGTCAATGATGTAGTGCCCTGCACCTTTCTTCCTGAGAGCTGAAATGAACTACCTGTAGTTGCAGGGTGTGTGGCTGTCCTCCTGCCTTTGTACAAGACAATCCCAGTGTCCAGAGGCCCTTGTAGTTGTTGACAGTGAATTCCCAGTCATCCCTTCAAGACAACATGAGCATCAGCTCCTCTAGGGCAGTTTCCTTCATCCACCCTCTTCTACACTTGGAGATAAGCATACGTTCCTTTGTTCTTATATCTGGGCAACTGAAGTCCAGTAAACTATGCCTACTTTCTGTCTACCCTTCTAAGGGGTAGAGAACCTGCCATATTGATTTCTACATCTGGTACTAGGTTATAGCAGCTGTTTAGTGAATAAATGGTTGAGTAACCAAATCCTAGCAGAGGTGAGGGTTTGCCTTGTCAGGGATGGCTTAGATGAGAAGACGTATTGAAAGGGATCTATGGTGCTTGTGAGATGGCTCAGTAGTTAAGAGCACTGGCTGTTCTTTTAGCAGATCCAGTTCAATTTCCAGCACCCACATAGGGGGCTCACAACTTCCAGGCTCTTTAAGAAAAAGATCCATGAAATATTGGAAGGAACTTGATAAACAAATGTTTAAAAAGACATTTTCCTATGGGGAAATAGTCACGAGACAAATATCAATTGGGCAGGAGAGGCCAGAGTGGATATTGGAAAGGAGCAGACGTCTTCTGAGGGCCATCAACTATACCAACCACTCTGCACATTCCCCCACTTAGTCTCAGCAACAGCTTTAGTATTCCCACCCGCCACCGGAAAGCTCCTGGGACCTGCTTTATGGCTACAGCAGTTGGTATATAAAGGGAGTATGCAAAAAAAAAAAAAAGCCTTCTCACAGCCCTTTTTCTCCCTGCCTCTGCTGAGGATCTAGCCAGACCCTCACACAAGCTAAGTGTGTGCTCTGTTACTGAGCCACATTCCTACTCCTGCAGTCAGCCATTTTCTTGTTTGGTATTTACTTGTACCTTTTGTTTGCTTGTCTGTTTCTCTAAGAAAGGGTCTTGCTATGTAGCCCAAGCTGACCTCAAGCTTTTGATCCTCTTGCTCAGTCTCCAAAGGGATAACGTTACAGGCATGTGTCACTAGATCTGACAAGTTCCAGGCTGACTTAAATCCCACCTTTTTTTCGGTTTCATGCTTAAGGAACAGACCTCCACCAGATCCCCTCTATCTTGCACAGACACTGTGTATTAGTCTCTGCTTTAAAGGTTATAGGGATTTGTTGGTCCTTTCTTTGAGTCCTAAGTTTTCACTGATGTCATAAATTCATCTGAGACTGGAGTTTTCTGTGTTGTATAGTATGTGTTTAGCATAAATAAGGCATAATTTCAGCACAGAAAGGGAGGAAGGGAGGGAGGGAAGGAGAGAGGGAGGGAGGAGGGATCAAGGAAGAAAAGAAAAGGAGAGACCATTACTTTCTGGGCTGTTTAATGATGGGGACCCCTGGGAGCCCTAAGCAGTCTTCTGACTAGATCTGACTAGATTCCTTTCTCTCCACAAAGGCCAGATTCTCAGTGATGGAAAAGTCTTCATCCATCTGTGCAACTACATTGAGCCCTGGGAGGACCTGTCCTTGGTGCAGAGGGAGAGTCTGAATCATCACTACCACCAGAACTGTGGCTGCCAAGTAAGGGAATGTCCATTTCCAAGGTCTTTTGTGGGTGAGGGACAAGCTTAGAGCCTTGGGGTCTCATCCTTCACGTGTTCCTCCACAGACATGTACTTCTTCACTTCCTACACTCATACTGTGCCGTGGAAGTGGGGGTGGGAAGGTGGAGACTGCAGTACCTTTTCTCAAAGTCTTTACTTTGGTGGGACACCGCAATCACACAGGGCAGACTGAAATGACACTAAATCGCCATTTAAGGAAAATCTAAGCCAGATGTGGTGGCTCAGTAGTACTTGAGAGGCTGAAGCAAGAAGGAAGATTCCAAGTTTGAGGCCAGCTTGAGCAACATAGTGAGACACTATCTTAAAAAAAAAAAAATGAGAAAAGGGAGCAGGGAAAGACAGAGTACTTTTTCCAGGCCCTGTAAGAGTTAATTTATTTTCAAATTTTAATTTCCTCTTAAACAAGTTTGTGAAGATGGAGATTTAATTTTAAGGTAAAGGAATCAAAGATCTGAAGAGCATTTACAGTCATGGCAGCGTGGGACCCATCAAGGCTAAGTCTAGTGACACCAGGATAACTCTGTTCACAAGGAGATGGGGGAGCAGAGCTCAGGAGGGACCTTGGGATGGGAGAAGACCAAGGCAGGTGAGATGGCAGTGAGGGGACACAGGATGTGCAAGGCAGCACAGAGAAAGGACACTCTATTCACCCTGATATTGTGTGATCACCAGATCACCACTTGCTACGCAGTGCCCTGTACCATCTCAGCCCCCAGTGAGTGTCTCTGGACAGACTGGCTGCTGGAACGGAAGCTCTATGGGTACCAGGCCCAGCACTATGTCTGCATGAAGCACGTTGATGGCATCTGCAGCTGGTACCGGGGCCACCTACACCTCCGGAAGGAGTATGTTGACATCATCCAGCCGTAGCTGGGACCAGTGAACACCACATCCTTGAAGAGTCCCGAAGACCAAGCCAGTTCTCTGTGGTACTCTGACCATCGCCACCTGCCGTGTTGCAGCTAGATGATGGGAAGTGCCAAGTGGGTGGCCTGGCCAGCATCATGGCAGTTGTGGAGCATGTGACAGCTTATGCCCACATCTCCAGCTCCCAACTTGTCGAGGGCTGGGGAAGGTAGTTTGACTTAGCTGCCTTGCCCTCAGGTTCTCTCCCTTCTCTCTCAAACTTTGTTAGTCTAGTTGATACCTGTTACTGAAAGTTTTTATTCTGGCTTTGTGTTCTCCAGTCAGGAAAATGTATGTTCCTTTTCTTAGCTCATACGGTAAAGGAGAAGCCACGAGTGTCGTAAGATGGCACAGCCTTGTGGTGCACGCTATGGAAGGGGTGACTGAATCCTGAGTGGGCTGGTTGGCTGGAATGAAAAGAATACACTAAAGCCCCATATCCTCTACTCCCACTGGCTCAACTTAGCCTAATCCTCTGACACATTTTCGTCTGCTTAAAGGGCACAGTGAGAGCTGAAGAGCCTACTCTTCCCGGTGCCCTGCAAGGGCCCTGATACTGTTGTTGGCAGAAGGACTGGCCCAGCTAGAGTTCATCTCTGGACAAGGAAAGACTTACTATACAAGGGCAAGCATTCTCCCTCCAGGTTAAATATCTCTACCGCCTTCAGTTGGTGGCCAGGGACTTTTCCGCAGCCTCCTTCAGATTGCTTATGTCTTTGTTCCTATCTTAGAACTTTGATTTTAAGCAAAAACAAAAAGATGAAACAACAAAAGTGACCCCAGAGCATGGTCTTCTCCTAAGGCCAAATTCTAGCAGAGGGTGAGAGGGAGATAATAAAAGAACCCTCTGGGAACCACACACTAGTGGGGAAACACAGCTTGCACTTGCTTCAAGCTTTTTCAGTGGCTATCCTGCTAGATGCTATAGCAGCAGACAGACAGCTAGCTGTGATTCTGAGAGTATCTCTACCCTTCAGCTACGCTCCATTACCTGTGTGTCTAGATGTTATAGCAGCAGACAGCTAGCTGTGGTTCTGAGGGTATCTCTACCCTTCAGCTATGTCCCAGTACCTCTGTATCTCAGACTCTAGTTACCAGCCCCTGAAGGCCCCTCAGCCTCTGTAAGCCTTCCTTACTTGTCAGAATGGGGAAACACTGGCAATAGCCTCTATGATTTGCTAAACCATAGAGCTCAACATCCCAGAACCTTTTCCTGGGAAAAGCGCTGGATAAGATGGCAGAGATCATCAGTTCTTCTGACAACTCAGGACTGTTTCTCATTTTGATATATGGTCAGCTGGTAAGCAGGGCCATGTGTGCGGTGCTGGAGGAAGGCTCTGGATTTAAATGCAATGATGGAGATCCCTTTGGGAGGAGGGAGTGGGAGAGGACCAAACAAGATCTCTGTCCCAGAACACAGCACTTGGAGGGCTCTGGCAGAGTCTCCAAGTGGGATCATCCAGTGATAATCCACACCATCCTTGGGCAGAGGGTCTGGGGATGGGGAGGAAGATGAAAAGTGACCTCCAGGTTGCTCCGTGTGCAACATCTTCATAGCTTTCATCCAACCATTTTTCCTTCCCTTCTAACCTCCGGGGGCGGACTCAGAGAAGACATAGGATTAACTCTGCTTTGTCACAGTTTGGAGGTAGCAAAGGAAATGGAAGTCTAGTGGAGAATAACAGAAGCAACAGCTTCTGACTTCGGAGGCTTCATACCCACCAGGAGGCTTTTACTTGAGGAATCTCTTTGAAGTCATATGCATGCTGTATGAAGTATCCTGGTCAAAGGCAGCTATGCCCACTTGGCGTGGTTAAGGAACTGACATGCAGTGAGGAACTGTAACACTGCCAGAGACACATGGCAAAGCTGGAGCTATACTCAGAATTGTGAAACCTCCTGACTGCCGATTTATAGATTTGGTGCCGTCTCTCATTAAAACGCCCTTTGTTTCTGCCTTCCTCTACTCGGTACCCAGAAGTGGAAAACAAAGCTGTTGGCTAGAATCTAGCTACTTTTGCTCCTCTAAGCAGCTACCTGAGGGGTTGGGCTGAGAGGCTGAGCCCTTGACAGGCCTCCAGAGTCACCATGTGGCTGTGAGTAGGAACAGCACTGAGTCAAAGCCCCAGTCCGCCACCTACCATCTCTCGGTGGTTGGGATAGTATGTCTGCTCGATGAGTGGGAACTTCTCCCCTCCCAGTGTCTTGAAGATGTTTACCATCTGGGCAAACTGCAAAAGACAAGAAATAATTTCACTGCATTTTCAATTTCTGAACCAGACAAAACATCAATTCATCAAATAAATGTAGAGCATTTTCTCTGTAGAAGACATTGTGTTCAATAAACTGGCAATACCAAGAAAGGTACATGCAATTTCAAAGACATATGCTTTAGTAGAAGAAGGCAAAGAGAAAGCTAGTATTCACAGAGGACCTACTTAATTTTAATGGTTTTCCCCCAATCTTTTCAAATTAACAAGGCTGAGAAGAGGCGGGGAACTTCACCTGAATCCCAGAGGTGAGGCCAGGGGAGCGGTGTACATCTATAAACTCAGCACTCAGTGAGGCAGGAGGATGATGAGCCTGAGGCCAGCCTGGGCTACAGAGTGAGCGCCAGGCCATTGTGCCAGGCTACATGGTAGAATATTGTCTTTAGGAAAGGAAATCAATAACAGCTGAAAAGAAGCGAAGCTGGGACCGAAACGTGAACTCTTTAACTCCAAACACATGCTCTCCTGAGCAACGGAGCAAGACAGAGCTGAAGTGGTAACATGCCGCGTCTCAGAAGTTCTAGCACCAGGCAAAGAAATAAAGGACAACCTTCCCGTGCGCTATACAGAGCCACCAGAGTCTGCACAAGAGGTGACATGCATGAGTCTGTTCCTCAGGAAGACTGGAGGAAGGGTCCCAGTGATCAAACACACTGATCTATCTTCATGGCTCTGCTTTGCTGAAATTACAGGAGCTAAACTTGGTAGACCCTTTATATGTGGCAAAAGGAGAGAAGGCAAGGTTCAGGTACGCACAGCGCTGGGACCGGAAGGAGAGAAGGCAAGGTTCAGGTACGCACAGCGCTGGGACCGGAAGGAGAGAAGGCAAGGTTCAGGTACGCACAGCGCTGGGACCGGAAGGAGAGAAGGCAAGGTTCAGGTACGCACAGCGCTGGGACCGGAAGGAGAGAAGGCAAGGTTCAGATACGCACAGCGCTGGGACCGGAAGGAGAGAAGGCAAGGTTCAGATACGCACAGCACTAGGACCGGAAGGCCTCTGGTGCACATCCAGCACCCCTTGACCTTTCAAAACCAGAGAGGCGCACAGCCCAAGGTCACGCTCTTGAGCACAGTTCTCTGCCAGAGCCTTCAATCCCTGTCTGTTTTTCTCCTGAGTCCTGTGAGTACCTACCTACTTTTCAGATTCCACAGAGGCCGTGCACTTCTCGCAGGGAACACAGATCTTTCCCACCTGGGCCACATTAACCCACAACGCCCACCCCAGCGCATGGGCAGTAGCATCTTCTCTCTAGTGGGGATCGGTTCAGGTTTCTAACCGCCAATAGCTTGGTCAGCTACAAGAGGAAGTTGTTGGACTAAGCCTACCCTCCACTTGTCAGAGACAGGAAAGCTAGAGCCTTTCCCCCAAAGCTCAAGTTCCATTCTCTGCAAGGGATCTTAGTGTGTGAGCTACTCCGGAAGGGTTATCAGCAAAGTGGAGTACCCTCGTGTCTTCCTTTTAACTCAGTAGTTGCCTTTGGACAAAAGGCCGCTTCCTCCCAGGCTCCCTCTTCAGATGTGAGCAGAGAACTGTCGGTTCCTTCAGCGTCTCACACCGTGCATCAGGAAGAACATCTTTTACTGCATTTCCCCACACCCTCCATCAGACTCTGGTCCTTTCGTGGGGGAGATTTTATTAAAATGCGGGGAAATGTGGGCCTTTCTGGGCCATGTCTTCAGGGTGTGGAACTGGCAGCTTCGGAAGTCTAAGACTTTCTTTAGGATTCAGGATCTCACACTTGGAATGGTCTCCACACGGGGTCTGAGGAGACGAGGCTAGGGCATACCTGGTACTAAAGCCACACTGGCAGAGTGCCCGGGTCTCTTCATCCCTTGCCCACTGCACCCTCTTTGTTCTCTGTTTACTTCTAACCCCTGGATCCTTCAGTTTGCTCTGACTGACCCCCAGTCCCTTCTTGCCTTCATTCCCCAACCCTTCCTCACCTGACCTTTCGGATCTCTCTGCCCACCTGGACCTGGCTGGATGCCGCTTCTGTCTGGGCTTCTGAGGCTCTCCAGCATCCCCAGGGAGTTGATGCCAGCTCTGCCTAAAGACCTCTGTCCTGCTGCAGCCCACACTCTGGCACAGCACCAGACATGTGGGGCCCTATCTTCCCTGTGTGTGGGTGAGTTACACAGACAACCACACCGATGCCAGGAAGGCCTCCGGCAGACTCCCAGGGCCCTGGGACAGCCAAGACTAAAATGACAGCCAGTTCCCAGGCTCTAGTTGGGTCCCTGAGAGCCCACTCTACCCTCCCTACCCTATTCCCTGTCTGATTAATGGACTGGACTTGGCATCAAACCTCTGCCTCCCTGGAAACTCAGATTAAGTCGCAAGTACACAGTTAGCAATTAAACAAAGGTAACATCTGATAAGGGCTATTTCCTCTATGCAGAGCAAAAACCGAATCTGCGAGCCGGTGTGGGGCTGGTGGCGAACAGAAAGAGGCTCATTTAAACCAGCCGTCTAAATGACTCGAGAAGGAATTCACTAAAGAAATGGGTTCTTTTTGAATATTGTGTTAATCCTGTCTCTCCTAGCTATGAAATCCTTTAGTTTAACCCAGGTCTGTCAATTTCCAAATGCTCTAGAATTCGGCTATGCTGGAGCAATCAGGGATGGTGGCATTCCTGCTTTCTCTGGACTGCTGTTTTCATCCATTTCTCCTGAAACCCCAGTGGCTGCCCTGGCCTGTTCTGGGGACAGCAGCCTTGCTCAGAGTCATTCTGGTGCAAGGCATAGCCTTCCCTAGCCCACTGGATGCCTCTCCCTACATTAAGAACAAAGAAATTTAGGGAACACGAGCCAAAGTTGTCCGTGTCAGAGGGACACTCCCCTCGCCGTCACCAAATGCGTCCACTTCTACTGACAAGCTGAGAACAACATGTAAAATGTCATTTGTGTGGCAGCTGCTTAGTGAGACGCAGGGAGAACTTGGTGTGTGGCCAGCAAGCCCTGTTGTTCCCATGCAATGCCAAAGGCGATGTGCTGGGGTTGTGAATGGGTGAGAATGTGACCCCTCACCAGATCCCAGATCCTGTGAGGGATCTTTCTGTTCCTCCCTTCTCTAGCCTCTGCCACAGTTTAGGAAAAGAAAGCATGGGACCATGTCCTTTAGGAGGGCTCAAATATCAGGGAACTATAATAACTACACTGGCAAAGTAATGGCATTTACTGTTAGTCACAGTTTGTAGACACAGAAGATGGTTGGTCACGGAGCTATGTCACTCGGTCACTCAGTAAAAACTGGTACCAGTGGCATCACATTGTGTTGCCACGAGAAAACCAAATTCTGACAGGAAGTGGGGACAGGGTGGGTTAGGGCACATTTCAGGAGGAAGGTCATGTGACTGAGGAGAAATGGGAGGTTCCTAGAAAAGATATTTGAATAGATGCCTCATCTGCGCTTTCTGAGACAGGCAGCACACTCAGCTCACGCCACCCTTTCAGCCCATTTCTGCAGAACAGTAGGATTCCAGATGTCACAGGCCACACACACGGAAAAGCTGCAAGCGGGGCTTAGGAACCCAGCCTCTCCTCGACCACAGCAGCTCGCTAACCTCCTCCTCCTCGTCCACGCCTCTTCCTCCTGCACTGGAAGGTCTCCCCATCCAGAGAATAGGAAAGCTGTCCATTTGAGTGTGGACAAAACAAGAAAGTCAAGAGCAGAGTTAATGGGCCCACGTGATTATACAATACCCCTCCAGCTCCCAGAGCCAAGAGGTTTACGGTTCAGAAATGTCACAATAAGCCTGGTAAGCCTTGGCAATCTAGCGTGTGTGAAGCTTGATTTTTGAAAAACAAGATGAAGAGGATATGATTAGAGGCAAGCATTTCCTTCCACAAGGCCAGCCAGGGGCAGTGGAGCTATCAGAGGAGAGTCCCCAGTCGTCCTAGGCCCCCATGTTTCACTCAATGCTTTCCACAGCCCTCCACTGGCCGTGGAAGAGGAAACCAAGCCAATTCTTCTCCACTTGTGTGAGAGACAGCGTGACGTACAGAAATCCTGGCTCTGTAAGCTTGGCAAGTGACTTAATCCTTCCTGGGTCTTATTGCTCTGTACAAAAGTGAAAATAATAATACCTCCCTGGTAAGTTTATCGTGGAGATTAAATAAAACTACACAGAATAATATCAGAGGGAGGCACCACACCAGCAAGAGGTTTTATGCTCCTCGTTTTCTTTCTCTTCCCACGAAGAGGTAAGACTTAAGTGTCTCAAAGGAAACTTCCAGCTCACACTAACTGTTGGGTTCACGCGTGTGTGAATGAGCCTGACCTGCCTCCAAGGCTGCTGGAAGGCTGTGGAGCTCTGCCTGTGGTAGCCTGCTGAGTTGGGTTTCTCTGTCAGCTTCTTTCCAATAGTTTACCCATTTTAAGAGGCAAGAGGCAGGCACTTTTCTCACTGCAGCTCCCAGTCAAGAAAAGACCCACAGACCTGTAAGGATTTTGTCATAGGATCTTTGGGCAGCATGGGTCTGGCAGCTCAGGACGTCTGGTAAGATGCTACGGTGATGGCCTACTCCACCCAGCCCCAGCTCCCAAGCCTCAGGTCTTAGCTGATGCTAGGATGGAGTTCTGGAAGGAAGAGCTCTGGGGAAGTGGGGGAAGGCGCCTTACCACCCATGGCTTGTCGCAGAAGTTGTAAATGGACTCCAGTGAGTTGACGCTGGGGAGCCCTGCGTACTGCATGCCAATGACAAGGTGGCGGAAGTCCTCATTCTCTGCCATGCCGAATGCGTGTTGTCGGATGAGTACAAAGTCTGGTCTGAAGGACCTGGTGAGAGGGCAGAGGCAGGTTTCCATTAACTAGCACCTTGTGACAGATTTCCAAAGCCTAAGGCAGAAGAGATGTCAAAGACCACCCAGTCCACGACCCACGTGTTATTATTACTCCTTTCTGGATGGGGTAATAAGGTCTCATGACACTTTCCAGAGAAGATCTGAGAACTGTGTTTCTGAATCTGTCCCCTTCCTTTGGACTAAATGCTGTCTTTTTCTAGCACACAAATATTTGAAGAAGGGAAGAGACACTTTTAGAGCAGTATACATTAAGTGAGAGAGATTTTTCTCTTTCCTCATGGGGGGTATGAACGCTTGAAGCTCCTGTGCTCCAGAGTTGGTCCCGGAAGACCACACTACTACCAGGTCTCTGATCTTAACGTACTGTTCAGTTCATTACAGCTGCTCCTTAAAATAGGCAATGCCCTCATCAGGCCCCAGGAGAGCAAGACGCTAGGCTGGCTGAGGGCAGAAGCCAAACTTCCCAACGCTGTTCTTCCAAAACGGACGCTAGGGAGCGGTGCAAATATTTTTCGCAGAACTGAGGTTGAGCAACGGGGCTGCAGGAAGCACTGAGAGTACGGAATGTTCCCATGCATGGGAAAGCTTCCCTGGTTTCACCTCTAGCCAGCAAAGCTTCTAGCCATAGCTGCTTTAGAGGACTAGGTGGCCTGTCTTCATGCCCTAGCTTCAGAGACCTTCCCAGAGAGGCAGATGCGGCAGCATCTGCCCCCAAGGCTCTGCGGCTCAGCATTTGACACCATGTACAATGACCTACCTGGTTCTCTGCCCAGGCACCCATCCAACCCCCACCTACAGGTCCAGCCCAACCCAGCTCAGAGATCAGCTCTAGCGAGGCTAAAGGAGCTCCTCTCGGTCGTTCAAACACTTCTTACCAAGATGGTACAACATCTGCTGAGAGTACTCTGACCTTTCCCCAAGTTCTGGGGCCTGATGTGAAGTCCAGACACCGCCCCCCCCCCCCCCCCCCCCCGTTAAGCCTTTCCTGGTGGACACTAAAGCCCAGCTGTATCCCTGACATCAAACCCCAATCTTATATCCCAGTTTCAGGAGCACTTGCCCTGGAGCCCTGCTCCTGGACCTTCTGTCACTACCTGCCTATGTGAGCATCTCCACGACACATCTGACCCACGGATGGAGAAGCCCATCTATCCTGCCGTAGGACCTACCTACGCTCATGTCAAACCTGAATGGGCGTCTGCTTCTCCTACATTCTTCTTCGGATTCTAGAAAGGGCAAGCCCACCTTCCTGTTGTTAGGTCCCGCACATATCCAGTCTGGCCTTTTCTGTCACTGACCCAGATCCCGTTGGACATTAGACTCACAGGGGTCAGGGTCCTGTGACTGAGGTGATGAAGAGAGTGGTGTGGGTCAGATCCCTCCTGAAACAAGACTTATTTCTGAAAACCTAAAGCAACATTAAGTTCCTGGGGAGAACAGAAACTGTTTCGCTCATCTGGAATTCTCATTCTGCCCCTGAAGGAACTGTTGTGCACACGTCAGCAGCCCAGCATCTAAGTCAGGTGTTTTAAATAGTTTAAAAAGCAATGGAACCTGGTTTTCCTGGGGAACTGTTTGGGGATATAAAAGCACAAGCCCATGCTGACTTGAGGGTAGACAGCAGAAGTTTAACAGAATCCAGTTACCTCTAAGTGAAACTTCAGTTGCTTTTCTAATGCTGGACTGAGTTGCCTTCTCTAGTGCTCCCACGTAACACACGGTGGGACTATCTAAAGCTGACCTTGTAATCACCCCCATCAAGTCAGAGGTGACAGAAAGGCCCTTACCGGACAACCTTTGTGCCATTCCGGAGCACCTGCATGTCCACGGCATAGGTTCCATCTGCATGGGCCACCAGGTTTAGCTCGGAAAACTCCGCCTGGAGAATAACAGTACAACGGTGAGTCTCAGTCCTCTGCACAGCAGCCGCCACAACACCAAGCTTTTATTTAGTTTCTGTGTATTTTCACACCCATTAGATTTCACCCAATACTCTAGGAAACCCTTTGAGTCAGGTGGAAGAGATCACTGCCCCGTCTACCCAGGCAGAAACCGTCTGGGTTATGTGACTTTTCTGGACAAACGAAGCTTAACGCTGCATCTCCTTACTTCTGGCTCGGCATCCTTTGAGCCTCTCTACAGAGACAGACTGTGTCCAGGGCAAGCATCTCCTTTCTCAGTCTCTGCATGAAAGCACTGGGTTCTGGATTTCCTTCTCCCCTGTCCCTGACAAGCAGGTACCTGTTCTGCCTGGGTTTCCATTTCCCATCTCCAACATAGGGGTAGATTTTGTTTATTTTGTTTTGAATTAATCCAGAATATCTAACAAGTTGTTTTAAAAAGGAAATATACTTTAATCCCAGCACTCTGGAGGCAGAGGCAGGCAGATCTCTGAGTTTGAGGCCAGCCTGGTCTACAAGAGCTAGTTCCAGGACAGGCTACAAAGCTACAAAGAAACCCTGCCTCGAAAAACAAAAAAACAAAAAACAAAAAAAAAAAAAAGAAGGAAATATAAACTGGGCACTGTGGTGTACCCTTTTAATCCTTGCAGACCGGAGGCAGAGGTAGGCTGATCTCTATAAGTCTACATATCAAGTTCCAGGCCAGCCAGGGACAATTAGTGAGATCATTTTGCAAACATCAATCAATCAATCAATAAAAGTACATATAGGTAGAAAAATACATAGTATTCTGTAAATCCTAACACATGAATACGGAATAACTTCTGTTATTACATAAAAAACATGTTTAACATGTTTTTTAAACAGGACATCTCCTCCTCGCAAAGGACCTAATTTTTTATTACCGTGGAGCAAGAGGCGGAGGAAGGTAAAACAAACAAACAAATAAACAAAACAGCCTTTCAAGTTCCCTATAAAAACAAGGGCATGTTATCTTCTAGGTGTTCTCTAGAGTACAGCCTCAGGGTCAGAGGAGGCAGATAATAAACAGAAGATGTGTGCCCACCAGAGTTACGCTACCACTGACGGCATGGAGGTGTGGCCAGCATCCTAGGCATCCTAGCCTTCCTCTAAGGCTCCCTCAGTTTGGGAACCCTGCACAGCAAGAGCCCCTGGAGAACACATTGTTTCTGAACTGTTGGATTGAGGAAATGGAAAACCCCCGGGGACAGGAGCTGCACAGTCGAGAGCCCAGTGAGGACACGGCACTCCACTAGTCATGACTAGATGGTTCTCTCTGGGATGACAGAGGGCATGCGAGGCTCCATGCTGATTACCTGTTCCACCTTGATGTCATAATCTCCAAGGAGTTTTTTGCCCCGAAAGCACTTGGCCCTAGAGAAAGAGAGGATGGTACACAATTAGTTTTGTGCAAGTGTTTGAACTCAGACAT